GGAGGAGGAGGAGGAGGAGGAGGACCGTGAGGACGACCTGGGGGCATGGGAGGCAGAGGCCGAGGAGGCTGACTGTTTTCGACGCCTTCGTGCGCGGCTCAGGGAGGCCGAGGCACCCAGTTTCTTCTTGGGAGACTTGGCCCGGCGCCAGGGGTCTTTCCACGCCTCCGCTCGCTTCACCTGTGGCCCCGCGGAGGGAGACGGGGTGTCGGCCTGGGGGCGGTGGGGAGCGGGGCTTTGGCTCCTTCTCTCTGTCTGGGTGCTGTCTGTCCTCCTCGTCCCCTTTGGCTCGCTCTCGCGCCCACTCCTCCCGCCGCCGCCGCTCCTTGTCGCGCACTGGGTCTCGCTCCCTTTCCCGTCCCGGTAATTCTGGCGCGGCTCTGCTTCTGTATATCGCACCCTGAAGTTCTCATTCCGCCCGCCCCCCCGGAACCGGCCTATTTCATGATCATGATGAGGATCTGCATACGGCCCAAGTGTTGTGTCTCTGGCACCTCTTGTAATCCGGTAATCCCAATCTCGGAAAACAGCATTTTCCGTGTCAAACTCCCGTTCACCCTCACCAATGGTCACAGTAAACCTTCTCTCTTCCAAATCAGGCTCCTGTTCTTTTCCAATGGTTGCTTTTTCTAAAACCTCCTTTGCCCTCCGAAGTCCTCGTTCCCAGGCGCTCTCTGTGGGGGGTCCTGGAGGGGGTGGAGGCAACATTTCATCAACTACGGGCCCACCCCGAGGGTTCGCAGGCATCAGTGGGTGAGGTCCGAGAGGTGGGGCACCGTTAGGCGGGAAAGGTTCGGCTTTGGTGATGAGGGAGGAGTTGCCCTTGTCGTTGACTCCAGGGTGTATAAACCTACAGTTCATTCCCCAGGTACAGTTCCCTTTAACCTGGTCTCTGAACGGTATGGAATTTGACATTGGTGGAAGAAGAGTGGATAATGGGGTCACAACGTCTTTCATGAAGAATCGGCAGGTGGGACGAGGTCTCACCTTCCTGTCACTGGGGTCCTTTACTTCGCCCTCTTCCAGATCATCATCATCCATCTCCCCGTCGTCATCCTCCTCATTTTTGTTCTCCTTGGCTGCCTCCAGGGGCTCCTTTCCTTCCACACTGTGGACATCGGCCTTTCCCTCTTCCTCATCCTCCTCTGCCCCAGCCTTCTCTGCTCCGTCCTCCTGCCCAGTGGGGGCTGGCTCTTCAGGGTCCTCCTCATCATAGTCTAACTCATGCTCGTCCAGTTCCCTGGTGACCGAGGAGGCCTCGTCCCTCAGATCACTTGTGCGGTCTTCCTCCCCCCCATCCCCTTCCTCTGCATGTGGGGGGCTCGTAGGGCCCCTGTTCAGCTCCTGAGGCTCAGAGTCCTGGTCCTGATCCTCCTCATCAGAGCGACTTTCCTCTTCCTCCTGGCTCAGTCCCAGGACAGCATTTTCTTCATCCTCCAAACCAGAAGCCCTCCCTGCAGCTTTGTCCAAATCCTGATCAAACCCAATTTTTCTCCAAATGTCATCGTCCGAGAGCCCTTGCTGCTGCTCCTCTTCATCCTCTGGAGAGTGAGGGTCCCGTTCAGGGCTCGCAGCCACATCCATCGGTACCCACAGTTCTCCCATACAAGTACTAACCAGGCCCGACCCTGCTTAGCTTCCGAGATCAGACGAGATCGGGTGCGTTCAGGGTGGTATGGCCGTAGACAACCCACAGTTCTCAGTGCGAGGATGGGGCCA